GGCTTAGTCACCACGGGGCCCTCCAACTCTTGCCGTTTGCTTTCAAGAATGGGTCCTGCTTCAATCAATGAGCTTTCGCAATTGTTGTGTATCATCACATACATCAATTCGTATTAGAGTTGCAAGCGCCTGTGTTATGTCCTGGGATACCGTCAGCCTCTAGACATCACGCTGATCACCTATAAATGCCGCACGGGGTGAAGCCATCCTGGCTTCTAGGTCATGAGGGTTTATCACTCTCGTCGAGGCCTCTGTTCGTGTGTCTGACAAGATCAAATGCCGCGTCGAAAGCAACGAAGTCACATCAACCCGCTATTGCGAGCTCCTCAGCGTGCTCGTCCAATAGTGAGGATCCGGAATGGGCTCTCGGCAATACCTACACCGTCAACCCTGCCGAGGCATCTCGTTAATCATTCGCAACGTGGATACATAAACGAATGCGATACGCTTAACTCATCGATCAGAAAGATCCCGGATCTTACCAAGGGCGGTCTGTGGAAGATGAGCGAAGAGAATCCGTCCTTTAAGGGCTGCGATAAAACACTGCTTGCATGCACACGAAGTCGAAGGGATGCTACCAAAGAAGGGACGTCTGTGTCTCATCTCATCGCAATTTCTATGTCTAAAACCCTATGTAGGCATGTCACACTAATCCTAGATGCAGGCTGGCAAACTTGTAACGGAAACGTAGTCCCTAGTGTACTTTGAGAGCTCAGCAGCCATCAGTAGACAAGGCCTTTCCCAGGTATTCTACTACATCTTGGAGGCTACTCTGTTCACCTTTGCAGAGTTCAAGACGATTGGTACAAGAACAGCGTTGTCAAGGGCAGCATACGTCGGAGACCATGGCCTAGACCGATATTGCAACTGCTTTGTTGGCCTGTCGAGGATCTGGCCCGGCCATACCCGTGCAAATCTCCCGGTTACACCAACTGGTAACAAGTTGTTGAAAGTGCAGACTACGGAGATCATACACCCGTCGAACATGTTCATTCACACAACCTGGCCTGACAAATCGGCCGTCTAACTCGGGTCCGCGACCGCGCACACGAAGGGCGTCGACTTGTCTAAGCTATACCGGCTAAAGCTGATTGAACCAAGCGGACATGCGTCCTATAGGGGTCATTACCCCGTGCTTAGGAGTTTCCAGTCCTCGCTGCGTTAGCGCCAGATCCTTCGCGACGCAACCGTGGACTCCGCCTCAAAAACGCGACAACAGATTCAACACCGACCACATGCAAGGCCGCAGTGCAGTCACTGAGCCGTTCCCGTGGGTGAAAGATTAGCTTCTTGATGCGTGCTTCGACCGGCAGATTATTTCTTGGCTACCTGCCTAAGACCTGCGTAGCAAGTAAATATCGCGTACGCAACCGAGCAGCGTCAAGTCAAAGAGGGACGTTGGGAGTGGATTAAACCTCTGGACCTCCGCCACGGGCGTAAACTTGTGATCCTTCGCGATGGTCGCGTAGAGGATGGACCACTGCGTGGAAGTCTGCCTTACTAGCACCATCTCTTCGTTTGAGAATAGATGTAATGGGTAAAGCATGTGGGTCAATATCTGAAGTCGTGTATATAAAGTTACGATGAGGCCTTCAGATATCAACATCAGCTTTCTAGCCCTCGCTTCACCTCATCAACCACCACTCAAACACACAAACGGCTCGAACTACCACCAAACTCACCATGTACACTCAGAGTCTCATCCTTGCGGTTCTGCCTCTTATGGCTCATGCTGTCGACATTATCCAGTTCGCCATCTGGGAAGACAGCGTTCCTAACACAGAGTGCAACCTCGACCTTGACGGCGCCTACTGTAAGCAATGTCCCCCGTGCTGGCCAAGTGTGGGCCATTTACTTATTCTATACATCAACCCTTAGTTATGTGCAGCAACATCCCTGCTGAAACCTGCTGTGCGAACTTCTGGAAGACTACAAGCTCGATTCTAGGTCGCGGCCTCAACAACACCCAGGTCGATGGCCGCGATCCAGACTCATTCGCCGTATTCAACGGCGAAGACGGCGACCCATGCGCCGTGACTACGGAAGGCTACTGTGGCGGCGGCGGAGGTTTCGAAGACTTCTGCTGGGCTACCGGTGGTGGTCAAGAAGGATGTGGTGCAAAGGAGACTGGAGGCTCACTCTGGCACAGTGGGGACGAACGTCTGGAGGGAAGATTTGCCAAGAGGTCTGTTGATGCTGTCAAGCCCAATGTGGCTGGGATTTGGGATGCGGTCGAACGCAAGCACCGTCACTTTAAGATGGGAGGCGACGTTCCTTCTGATGTCACCACCATTCTCGTCGAAGCTGTCAAAGCGAATGCAGGATACGGGTACCTGGATGAGTCGGTGAAGGCTTTTGAGATTGCGGAATAAGTTTGGTTAGGATGACATCGAGGTCTTGGACTGAGATGCATGTTAAGAGGGGAAACAGTGTTGGATTGTGTGCTTACGTGTCGACGAACCTCTCCTACTTCTAGTGCGACAGTCGCTCTTTTCGGAATTTCAATCAAGCGTTACTCTTCAGACTGGAAATAACTATCCAGACCACAGCTCCAATATTCATTGCTGTTCATAAGTGAAGAGACTCGCCCACTCTTGAACGCGTCTACCATGTCTGGGCATGTCTTTCTTCCCTGTTTTTTCGCTGGTATAACCTCGTGACCTCATCATCTCCTAATCCGAGAGCCTTATAGTAGGGATGTCGGAGCTGGATGTACAATACGGCTTGCGTCTGTACTACGGCATGCCCAAATGGGCCTCATTGCGGGGCTAACAGCACTAGCGGGGTAGCACATCGACATCGAACTGCGCGTTGGAACGTACAAAAGTCTGTAGCTCTCAGCGCTTTCTTTCTATCACACTTCCTCCCAGGTACAGAGAAGATGCGGAAGTTCGAACACCAGCCCGACATGGGAGGCCCGAAAGGAAGTGCAAGGGCCAGGGTGCAGCTACCGATAGCGCAACCAGCCGCTAAGCCAGCATCAAATGGGCCTTCGGACTCAAACAACATCACCTCATCGAGCGCCGACCCGTACAAAGCAGCTCGCGAAGCTCTCGATCGCGATGGCTTCGTGGTCTTATCGGCTTCGCTCTTCCCGTCTTTTGATCTCGACGCCCTGCGCGCTGCTGCCTCCCGCATGACAGAAGCGGCACGATCTGGGAAATGGCCATATATACGCACATTGCCGAAGCAGTTCCCACCATGGCCACAAGATCCCTCGAAAGGCATCTGGGGCGTGCAGCATCTGCTCCACCCGTCAAATCCCGATCATCTCACATTCGCAAGATCGTACTTTGACAGCGAGCTTCTGAAGTACGTCGCAGCACTAATTGGGTGTGGCGAGGACGATTTGACCATGGAATTATACAACATGCTGGTTCGACCAGACGAGGACTTCAGTCTGCGCTGGCATAGAGATGATGTCGCAGCTACCGCAACGCCTGAAGAAGAGCTCGAGCGATTGAAGAAGCCAGGGCATCACGCACAGTGGAACCTTGCACTGTACGACGACAGCAGCCTTGTACTTGTGCCTGGATCGCATAAACGCGCACGCACTGAGACGGAACGAAATGCGGACCCGTACGAAGTACACATGCCCGACCAGATTACTGTGCAACTCAAGGCAGGCGAGGTGGCCTTCTACAATAACAACATCCTACATCGCGGCGTGTACGACAGTTCGAAAGAAAGGATGACGTTGCATGGAAGTATAGGAACGACACAGGCGGGGAGCGAGCGAGCGAGGAATGTGTTGCAGCACGGTGTCGGTGATTGGTAAGTATCCCATACGAACTGCGCGTGAGACATACACTGACTTCTTACACCTACGTTCAGGGCCAAGGAATACGATTTCGAGGGATTTGAACCTGACATGGCAGAAAGGGCGAAGAAGATGAGAGAGAGGCTCGTGGAGATGGGACAGAAGAGCGGAGATGTTGGCTTTTTCTCGAAGGATGAATGAGTTTACGTGAGTGGAGTCGAGCTAAGAACGGTCCCGAACGATCGAGGGAGTGAATGTAATGGCGAAGGGGTTGTAACTCCTACGTAGAGTCCTCATGCTAACTTCATAGTTCTCTATGCGTAATCGAGGAAGGTATTGAGTGGCATTAGAAGAGAATTAGAGGTACAGCGCTGAAACCTGAGGGCTGCTGTAAGGCCAGAATCTGATGATGGATGCTGTCACCTTGCCAAGTTGATGATTCGGTATCTTTCGAAGAATGGTACACATAGTCTCTGTGAGGGTGAGGCACCTGAATTAGAGGAAGGCTCCACGCTGCCGTTGTATCCCATTGTAGTTGCTCGAGTGTAGATTTTGCGAATGTTCAATATCTGTCACCGAACCTAGCCGCGGCAACGCCATCAAACAATCATGTCTGCTTCCGAGCCTTGTAGTCAGGTCAAGACGTCTAAGAATTTGCGACGCTACTATCGATAGAGGGGTAGCTCAGTGGTACAAGTCCATGGCGTTCCAGACCCACAGCCCAGGCAAATCCTTCACTACCCCTGAACAACCCGAATCAACTCAAAATGCTCCAGTTCTCACATCTTCTCCCCCAATGCTTCTTCTTCGCGTGGTGAAGCCGGGACTATAGTGTTACCGTCTGCTCAATCCTTCATCAATAACACCTCCAATCCGCATCGGTGGTTTAGTGGTAAAATTAGCCGTTGCCATGCCTCACAGCACAGTTTCGGCTAGCCCCGGGTTCGATTCCCGGCCGATGCATTCCTTTTGCCATCCTGCGCGTCGTTGTGGTGGTAGTGGTGCTCGGGAGGGACATGTCTTTTTGCAAACCTGCGCGGGGTCACGTGCCAGTGGGGTGCCGCCAACGCCGGATGCTCTAAGCGCCTGGCTAACAGCGGGGTAGAATGCAGGAACTCGTCACTTGGAGTCCGCATTTTTGCCCTCTAGTCTGGCTGGAAGCTCGCACGGCGAGGACGTACAGTTCTGAGTGTAGTTATATAGGGCAGATTTCGCGACAGTCTTCTATACTTCCTAAAGAGGAGCCTTGGCGCAATGGTAGCGCGTTGGTTTTCGGAGAAAACATCAAACACCAAAGGTATGGTTCAACGCGCCTCGAGACACCCACCAGACTCTAACAGACAACAGGTTGTGGGTTCGATCCCCATGGGCTTCGCTTACTTTTTGCTTTTTACCCCAATCGAGACGCTCCTCAAACATGCTGATGCTCTGTCTGGAGTTGCATGTTTTGTTGTGGCCGTTCTTTTTGCAATCTCCACCATCGACTCTACCTTGTCGCTTCGGGTACTGAACACGAGTCACGGCAAGCAGTTGGACATTCCACACACGCTCGTTATAATGCCAAGCAGGCTGTTGATATCTGCATCCTCCCGGTGGCAGAACGCGGGACGATATACGTGCAGCCATCGATCGTCACGTTTCAGATACATTTTCCCAACCCAGCGACCTGGTCGCGTTGCTGTCAAGGCAATTAAGACAAGCAACTTGACGCACATAAACAAACCTGCCGGGTCTGCAGCGGAAGATCCTTGCGTCATCTTGGGTAAATCAGGGTTCGGGAAATTATGATACCCGTTCTTGTCGATCCGATAACCTTGAATCTGAAACGCGGTGACCAAAGAGTGGATGCGACTCAACGGTGCATGTGGGTTGGCTCCTCAACGACACGGAGGCTGACGTGTCTTCGCAATGATGTCAGATGGGCGATCAGTGAAGAAAGTGAGATTCGACGCTGACGGGGTTGGGATCAGCGCGGAGTTTTGAGTCCTGCGCTTTCCAAGGGCTGTGGAGTATACAGCATTTGCTAGAGTAGACAGATGGTGAGCAGAAGTCCTTTCCCGCCATCGTGCCAAGTTCCCTAGCAATCAGTCATCTTTCCAATGGACAAGCATGGATCTTCCAGCCACACATAGGCCAAGATGTAATGCATCCCTGGACCCCGACAGAACGACTATGCGAGAGGCGCCCCAGACCTAACAAAGCTGTTTGAAGCGGTCAGAATACAGCAACATCAGCGCTGCCTCCCGTCCTTGGCGGTTGACCAGCAAATCCACACAGCCGCGAACGCTACTACATCAGAGCTTTCGTGCTGAGCACTCTTCGCGTGGGTTGCTTGCAAGGATGGAACATGCCTGTGTGCTGTGGTGTGTGTTCATCGTCCCAAGAGGTCGTGTGCACCGAGCTGCACAGCTACTACACCGACAACAGGACAGCAGATCCAGTTCCATGGCGCACTGTGCATGGGCATTGGAGATCCCGCAGACAGCGGCTGGACGGCAATCGACGATCGGAAGAAACATCCAAGCGAGACGTTCAAACATCAAGCGCGTTCCAATTGGCTGTTCTGCTAACAAATGCGCAGACTACATTGCTAGTAAAGGGCTTTACCCTGTGTGACGTTAATCAGAGCAGCCACAAAAGCTTCCTCGTGCGTGCTTGGCCGGTCTAGACAGCGATTGGACGCATGTGGGGTTCCAGACGGGTAGATGAGCCAAAATGCTTGATTGGTTGTTGGTAAGAATTTCTCCCCGAATACTCGTTGGGAGTGCTCTAGGTCGATGGACGCGTGGAGACTAAACATAACGGCTACAATCGCTGGGGTGTATTGAGGTATGAAAGTGTGTTGCGCAGCTGCGGCGGACGCGGAGAAGCGTCGACATTGACATCGTGGCGATTGAGATCTGGACTTGGATACTGGCGGATGGACTGGGTATGATAATACCCCAGAGATGCAGTGGATCAGTCGAGAGCATGGGCAACCTACCAAGCCTTGGTGCCGTCGGGTCGAGAAGTCAGACATGGTGATGTGTTGACACGCACAACGATCGGTTGCAATTGCCTTCCCTGCAGTGTCCAGGATACAGCAGGCAGCTTTTGATCGGCGAGCTGGATTTGCGTCTCAGCATAGGAATAGTAATAGAGCCTTGATCGAGAGGGATGGTTCCTTGCGACGACAATGAAGTACCGCCAATTTGGGACCCTGGTTAGCTCCGCGAGAGTCAATTCTATATGCGTTGTGCTAAAGGCTAGCGCAAATGCTCCGTCTGGACGAGTCTCGGGATTCTCTTACTGCCGAAGAAGGCGAGGAAAAAAGATGCACAAGAGGACGTGAAGACGTGTGGGTGAGGGCTGGTAGTGAGCGTAGATGATTCCCGAAGAAGCAGGAGGTTTTCCTCGATCTCTCCACACGAGTCGTTGATTGGTGGTGCTGCTCAAAATAGAAGCCGCACTGATCGCGTCTTTCTGCTGATCGCGTCACCCTGGCGAGAAAAGCGGGGCACAAAAAGACATGGTGGAACGGAGAAAACCCACCCTCGAACGCCATGAGCTGCGACGCCGCGCACCACTGCCATTTCTGCACAACAGCAGAGACGGGACTGCTAGGCGTGTCTCGAGTGCGGTTGCGCAATTAGAGGAAATGATGTTGTGCCTCGACAATGCACATCAAACAGCTCTCATCTCGCTGAGCCGAGCATCCTCGTCCCGTTCCCCACGGCTTGGGGAACATCGCAATCCGCAAATTTCATCACGGGGATGCGATCCTGCACGAGTCTCGCGGAAGGCCCGACGAGGTGCCGGGACCCTCTGCAATGGTGCCATGCATGCAGTGCCGGGAGCAGGAGAGGTGGGGAGTGGTGGTAGAGCCGTGGCATCAGGTAGGCACAGTAGGAGCAGGCACGGCGTAGCAGAGGGACGGGAGACTGGCGTGCAGAGGAGCGGGGTACAGACGTGTCGGTGAAGCATCAACATGGCGAGGGCGGGCTTTGGAGCGTCGTTATCGCAGCCCGCCAGCGACCTAACGAGCCCACCGCTACTCACCAACTGCTGCAAACGGCTGAGCCGCAGGTGCGGTGGGTCGCGCGACGCCGGGCGCGCGCTGCGGATTGGCCGTCGGGGACCCTCGCAGAGGCGAATTCGTAAGTGTTTACCAGATCGCGTCGTATCTGCTCGGCCTAAGCGCAACGCGTCGACGCACCAGCCGCGACAGGAGCTGGAGGGTTTGCAGGCAGCCGTGACGTTGGCCGGGCCTGGTGCAGTGTGCCGTTGCCATGCAGCGAGAAGCTTCCGAACGGCAGGGTGGGAATGTGGCAGGATCAACATGTGGTTAGAGGTGCAAATGGGCCGCCGCGATATTGTTGCTTATATCGGCTGCGCCCGAGCACTATATGACGGGGGCGCGACCAGGGTCAAAGTGAAGCTGGCGAGGTGAGGTGAGGTGACGGACGCTGTCTTCACAACGTCGGGGCGGATGAAGCTCAGCGGCCATCGGCTATGAAGATTTGCGTGAATACGACGAGCGGCAGCTGCCCTGGGCCACGAGCCGCGAGGCCCTGAGGCTATCCAGCAGAGGCTCACGGCATCCAGCGTCGCCCACACGCCTGCGACGGGTTGGCCGCACAGGCAGCCTGGCATAACGACGCTGCTGCACCTGGCGAGGCAGGGCAACGTGCTCGTTGTCTGGCGTGAGGAAGTTATTGAATCTCCTAGACCCAGCCGCGCCCGTCCGTGCGTGCTCCAGAGACTAGTGCGGCCCCTTTGCCTGACAACCTCAACTCTTCACCGCGACGGCCAACCTTACCCTCCCTCTATTATTTCCTTTTCTGCTTGCTTGTTGAATCGCACGTCGTTGTCAGCAGCAGAAGACCGACTCTCCACGACCGACCAATGCAGGCTTGAACAACTGCTCGGGAGGCTTGGTACACGCTGCCATCTCCGTCGATTCACGACAGCCTTCCCAGCGCTTGACGACGTTACATTCTATTCTCTGTTTTAATACTTTGTCCGTTTTGTTTCATAGCAGGTACACCTCCCCCAGCTGCCCGTCGCCGCCCCAGGAGCCCCGACACAGGCCTGCCTGCCCCCCAATGCCCCGTCCCTAAAGGCCACGCTCTGGTCGCCTGCCTCCCGTCCGCGACCGCGGCCACCATGCCCATCGCTCCACCACCCGCAGCCTTCGCACTCTCAGAGCCCCCTGCTAATGCGCCCGCCCTCCACAGATCTTCCTTTGCCCGTCTCGGTCGCCGCTTCCTGCCGCCGACGAGTCCTCGCCCACCCCCGTCGAGCTCCTGATAGCGCTACCTCGCAGGCCTCCGATGGCTCAGGTACTCACATCAGTCATCCAGACGACAGGACCCATTACAATGCCCTACTCGCCGTCCGATGCCTACAAAAACCCGCCCAACCACCCCAACCAACAACAACAGCGGGCCTCGCAGATGCCGCGCAACCAGCAAAATGGAAACTCGGGAGGCACTGGATACAGGGGGACCGCCGCACCCATAGCCCCGTATGCCTTCAACAGCACGCCCCAGCTGCGCCAGGACAACAGGTCTGCCTCGACTCCAGCCCCCCAAACCCTGCAGCAGCCTCCCAGCCACGCCAACCAGACACGACTCGGCCACCCCTCTCACCCCTCCTCATCCTCCGATTCCACAGTCTCCACCTCTGGCTCGTCCAACCGCTCGTCGGCTGGGCCACCCACAGCTGCCAGAGATGACCGCGACACCAAGAAACCTTACGACTCCGCTGCGCCCTCCATCACGCTATCCACCTCCATACCCGATCTCTCGCTTTCAATAGGCGATACGCCTGCCAAGCCCTCACCAGGACGATACAGGCGAGGCGCTGGACGGACAGACTCGTCCAACAGCATTCCGACCGGTGCCTCTACCCCGACGCAACGCTCTACATCAGGAGGAAACTCCCAGATGGGACCCACGCAGAATGACGGCCCACAGCCATTCAGGCCAGGGCACAACCGAGCGAACAGTGCAGATGATACGCAAGTTATTCGCTCAGGCGGTATAGACCCCGCTAAGCGATATAGAAGACGCAGTTTCAACGGACTGGAAGGAGACAACAACGTTACCTCCGCCATGGCATCATTGCAGGTTAGCTCAGGAGCTGGTTCAAGCACGACACCGAGCGCCTCCACCACCACGCCCTCGAATTCGAATCGTGCAGGAAGCCGCCCCGACTCGAGTCACAGTCATGAACGGCAAGGCAGTGCAGGCAGTGCTTCCTCTAACAACTCTTCAAGGTCTCAAGTGAGTAGAGTGACTTCACCAGACTTTCGCAAGCTGACAAGGAATCCAGTCTCGCCCTGTGGTGAACACGCAGCGCAGCTATGCCTCCGTAGCAGCAGGCGGTCCTTCC